ACCTAAAGCTGAAAGTGCAGTACCCCAAACTTTATCAATGTCAACAAGTACAGTCCCTGCAGTCAGCACAACCACACCAGCAGCTAGATCAAGCTCCAGCACCCGTTGATAAAGAAACCTTTATAGTTCCAGGATTACGTGTGCTAGAAACACAATAAGTATGCAGACTAGTCTTGCAAATTTGGACACTCATATCTAGGACTGCAGAACTCGCATACTAGGCTTAAATGCTTTAGTAACATTGATTAACGTAATTGTTAAGTGAAAATACCTCACGTTTTAACTTCCTGGGATTTTTTTTTACATTCGTGAAGGATTATTAAATTACAAACGGGTCTTTGGCTGCGGTAAAACATATTTAAGACGTACAACATATTTGTTCGGCAATGATGTTTGTGTTTCCATAGTTTCTTTGTAGAAATTTACAGGTTTCGGGCCATTCGAAGACGAATTTCGGCTGGGCACTCTGTTTGCACTATTTAGGTCGTTAAGTGCAACATCAGCATCCATGACAATAAAATGTCGAATAGAGAGTTAAGCCGTTCGAGGAACAAGTTTTCGCGTAGTCGGATCAATCTCTGAGATTCCCAATAGCTAATAGCTTGACATGGAAGTTATAACTGTATTGTACCAAATCATCTAAGAATTCCGCCATTGCGCTAACTTGAAAGTTGAGAGACCCCATATAATTCTTTAGAACATCGAAGTCTTTTTTAGCCGAACGACAGAAGGTGGGCAGGTCATCGTGTGCGTCGCTGACAAACTCTAACGTTTTGACAACAATAGGATCTGATGCTGACCGGGCTCAGTCGCCATTTTTACAAGCTGCACCTTTGTGCGATCTTAACGGCCCCTGTAGACGGCTCATTTCATTGTGCTAAGTTTCATAGCGTCATTTTCGTGCCGAAAAACTTTCACTTAAGTGTTATATTCTCTAGAAACTCTAAGATTAATTCGCAACCAAGCAAGGAGCTTACTGAAACGCCTGCGCTCACGCAGAGGTCACTTGCCTTAGACGATAAAATAGGTGTTTAAAACGAGAAATTAGAAGGTAAACTAAACAGTCTTACTGTCATAATACGAGAGACAAGGATAAAAGAACTAAAACGTTTACTTAGAAAAATCTACATGTCAAAGGACACACGAACAATTAAGTAGCTGGACTACAGGTCCCTAGAGGACGCACATGCTGCTATATAATACACCTTATTATAACATCCTCCCTTTTATAGATGAAAGCAAAGAAACTTGCTCTTGATTACAAACCGACACATGAACTGACTGATACGAAATTTGAAATAAGCATGCATCTATAAGGTAAATAATCGAACCCTATAACGCGTAAAAAGTTTTTTGAACAGTTTATGGCTTCGTCAAAACAAAGTCACTTAGATGCTTTGGTGGCTTTCGTTGACGCCCAGATCGTCTTAGCTACGGCGCGTGTGGAGACTTTACTGCAGTTGAAGGAACTTCAGGCCCACTTAGATACGTATTTCTTTGACTTGAGAAAGGTGGATTTACTTCCTCGGGAACGGTGGTCGGCACTTCATTGGATTGCATTGAGGAGGGAACAGACATCTCAGCAGGACCTTCGTCTGATGACGGTGGCGATGGCTCATTTGTCTTCCGTAGGTGAACACGGTTGCGACGAACAACGTCAAGGGGGTGTCTCGACTTCATACGATCTCTGATCCAGTCGACTCCGTACAATTCCTTTCTGTCATTCTCGCTTGCTCGGCTGAAACGGCTTTATTCTTACTATATCTCCTCTTTTCAAGGGACTCAGATCGACAGCGCCTCTGTTGAAATACTGAGCTTGTCGCTGCTTGCGCCATTTAAGCCTGCCTCGGCACAGCTCGTTGTGTGGAACTGGCTGCGATGCGAGCAAATTTTCCGTCATTGGTAAGAAACTTCTCGCCCTCCTGTTCGCTGCGCTGGACTGACTTGAATACTGGCAGGTGGGGTGTTACGGTGATCGAGTAAGGCTAGAAATGCATCCCATCCCCTCGATCTGTACTTTCTGAAAATCTTCTTAGCTTCCTTCATTGCACTCTTTGCTTTACCGTTACCCTGACTGAGATATGGGCTGCTCGTGAGATGTTCAAAGTCCCATTCTTTCGCGAGCCTCAGGAAGTCATGTGACGTAGTTTGTGAACCGTCATCAGTCACCAGTTGCTCAGGTATGGCATGGGGCGCAAAATGAGCCTTTAAAGTGCACCTAAACCTCAAAATTTGTTTTCGCTTAACGCAATAAGCTTATTTTGTTGGAGTATTTCCGAGCAAAAATTTTTTAATTTGCTCAAATCTTTAATTTTCTGTGCCCAGTTAAAATACAGAAAATCGGCCGTCATCTTGCCCCACGACCGAGTTTAAAGAGGAATGGCTCTAGTGGGTAATGTGACGTCAAATCGAGAACACGAAAGTCTGCATTTCACACATTTTCACTTGTTTGGGAAGGTTGTCGTCGATATTGTCCGAAATATGCCGACTAGGTGTATTGTATGAGGAATGTATGAAGCGCGATACCCTCTTGCAAATTTCGCACGTTGCTACATCCTTCTACAACACACTTAGTCGGCATATTTTCGGACAATTATCGACTACAACCTTCCCAAACAAGTGAAAATGTGTGAAATGCAGACTTTCGTGTTCTCGATTTGACGTCACATTACCCGCTAGAGCCATTCCTCTTTAAACTCGGTCGTGGGGCAAGATGGCGGCCGATTTTCCGTATTTTGACTGGGCACAGAAAATT